GTGTGTGTGTGTGTGTGTGTGTGTGTGTGTGTGTGTGTGTGTGTGTGTGTGTGTGTGTGTGTGTGTGTTGGGGTTGGGGTTGTGGAGTGTGACTCCCAACACCTCCACACATGAGACCAGAGGTGTTAGAGCTCCTCACTTCTCCATCCAACCTCACTGGATACCAAGTGACCCTCACCTACAGCAAAAGGGTGTCTTGACTTACTGCACAGTGACAACTAACACCACATCAGTTTTACATGGGGTCACAGTGAGGCTGAAAATCTTTTGTTGTTAATGAGAAAATTGAACTGAACACCGAGGTCATGTCGTCTTTAGGAGAACTTGGAGATTTTAACAAATTATCATGACTTAATAATCTGTGCTTTATATGTTCCTGACTAAATTACAAATGTTTGTGTTGAAGATTATGATGTTTAGGCTCAGTACCTATAGCTTTAATTGTTTCAGGTTGAAGAAAAAGTACACTAAAGTCAAACAAATTGATTTATTATTTCTTCATAAACATAGTTGATTGTTGGACGATATTTATATTTTTATATATTTTTTTTTTAACTATGCTTTTGGCTCTGAGGTCAAACTAAGGGCCTGTCCTCACGAATACGCAGCCTCACCCAATACGATAAACATGGCGTCGTTTCCAGAAATATCTGCGTCCACACGGATTCACTGATAACGACCCAAAACGCTGTAGTACATATGCCAGGCCTGTAGGCGCTGTGACGCCGCCACACCAATACACTGAAACCGGAAGGGAAGCCATGGAGTATGCGCTGTTTACAAACAAGTACTAGTAATCCACCATTGTTGTTGTTGTTATGACGCGTCTAGCGGCGGCGGAGGTTAAAGGCTAGAGAGGCGGGGCTAGTACGTCATCGTTTCAGAAAAAATCAGTTTCGCCGTCCTGACACTCTGGGACCCGTTTCCAAAAAATGCAACATACTGTTGTGGAGAGTAGAGCATTTTGAAAAATGGCCAAAATTTTGTGTAAAGAGCTGGTGTCCAGTTTGGTGCAGAGTCAAAGAGTGGGCGTGACCTCCAATAGGACAGAGGGTAGAAGATGGAGAATTCAAAAGTACAGACACAGACAGGCTTGTGCCTTGGGTGAATAATGTAGCCAGTTTTTACACTGGCACCATGTTGTGGAACAGCAAGTCTTTAAATGTGAGAGGGGCTTATAGAAGTCAGGTTAGTGCATTTTTATAAAATGTATGTTGTTATTTTAGCTGTCCTTGTTTTCTGATGTAGGAGTTCTTTTATATTGTATTATTTGTAGTGATGTGCTTTTGGATTTAAGGACTGTGTTGTTTAGTTTTGGGACCATCTTGGGATCAAGTTGGAAATAAGTGTTTTCACTTTGACATGTTTCAATTTTTGTTCTTTTTTTCCTGATAATCCATAAATAAAATCAGTAGAGTCATAAAAATCTGAAGATCTGAGGAAAATAGCACCTAAACCTCATAGAGGTTCCAATAAATATTTGTTTTTATTTCATTTTTGTTTTATTTGATCAATTGACTGTTTTACTAGTCAGCTTCACAATCAATTTATGATCATGATACATCATCAGATCCCAACAAAAATACTGCTACTAAATACACAAAGGTACAAAACACATATCTGTACTTCATAAGACTTTAGATACTTTCAATGAGTAGTTAACATGCTGGTTTCTGAACAGTGTGTGAAGCTTTTCTGACATTTAACCCCTCACAATTCTTTTTAATCCCTGAATATCTTTGCTCCATAACATCTGAGCAATTTCAATATGTATCAGTTCAGAGCCAACGTGATTATGTCTGAAAAATACTGTATATAAGAGGCTTTCATTAGATCATATCAGTATCTATGAGCTGGAAACAGGATGAATAATTCAGATCGAACATTCTTCAACTGTTTTCTCTCAGACTTTTACTTTGCCATCCTCATTAAAGATTCTGCTGCTGATTCTTGACAAGAATGTAATGTCAGGGTTTGAAAGTGACCTAGTTAGTGACCTAACTAAATTCAGTGAACTATTTGACTGATCAATGTTTCAGGAATCTAAACATGAATTCTGCTGCTAATCAGAAATTAGTATTAACTTAACTTGAGTATTTTATTTCTAGTGGACAAGTCCTATTCTAATTTGTCCTTAGATATTCTGTAATATTCATTGTTTTTCTCATTTTATGTTAAAGTCTGTGTCAGGGCTACCCAAAGTTGGCCCACCATAAGGTTTGATTTGGCCTGCCAGATGTTTTTGTAATTAAAATATATATATTGAATAAATCACTGTGTATGCATTTGTTTGTGAGGAACAGGGCTCTACAAATATATAGGATTATTATGAATTTTATTTATCTATACCATAGTTCCATTTTGCATCCAATACAATATAGTACAGTAGGTGTTTAATTTGGGGACCCTTGGTATCTTTGTTCCCGTACTAAATTAACCATGTCGTATGTGTGTTAGTGTAGAGATAAAGCCCTCTTAATTAGCCCAAGCGTTGATTGAAGTAGCATGTATTTGTGCACGCTGGTATCTCTATTAGCGCAGTCCTATTACGTCAGGGCCATTTGTGCCTTATGCGCCAGTTTGCTCCTCACTGGCTCTCGGCGGGGCGTCACATGGTTCATGCTGACCCCTGACAGCTTCGTTTACCCAAAATGAAAGGGCCATTAGGCCACATTAGGACCCATTAGGGCAGGCAGCGAGTGAGGATCCCCACACCCGCTGTAATGGATTGCACTCTTCTTAAATACACCGGCTGCACAATTTATCTCAATAATTAAAAAACTGTGAATTAAAATTCCTTAACTTTGTTCTATTAAGTGTGAACCAAACACAAAAAGTCATCATTTGATTAGTGGTGAGCAACAGGAATTCATGCATCTTGCATTCATTCATGCTGACGATCATGAGTCATGCATTAGTTCAGTATTACGTATAGGTCTATCATTGTTTCCCTTACCATGTGTTCGAAAATAATTACAAATATAATTGAAATTCATAAAGCAGTCTATTTGTCGGTAGTGAGTATCCTTTCCTTTCCATCAGTTATTGATAAGAGAAGAAACAATCCGAATGGCGTGGGTTTTGGTTTAATGGAATCAATATGACCTATCCTAAATCGTGTATCCTTTATTGGATTACCACGATGTTAAAGAAGTGTTTAATTGTTCTGAATGCTGGTCCAGTAACGCTCCTCAGCCCTGCAGTCTGCTGCGGCCTTCACTGAGGAGCAATATGGTGTGAAGCCTCCTGTCTTGTCCAAACAGCGCGGCGCTGCGGGGCGGTGAGAGATCTCAAACCGCCGGGTTGTCTGTGAAAACAAGGGGGAGAAAAGTTAGACACCATCTGTGAGAAAGGCAGCAGGGAGCACCAGTAAACTAATTAACAAGAGAAAATTAGATTGAGATTAGAACAACACCAGCCATCCATGAAAATCATCAGCACAAGCCCCATTATACTGATCACACATCAGTTACAGGTTCATTATAGTGCGAATACTTCACTGCAGGCAACATGGATGTTATGTAGAGTTAGGGGGCCACTAACTCGCAATTACAACAGGCTGTATTAATGTAACAGGATTATTTGACCTTTAGGCCTATATCCTCAATCCTAATATAGCCTGTAAATCATAAGATTATGGTGAATCTTCAACAGGCTGAGGGAAAATGTCCTTCACTTTGCACACTTAAAGCTGCAGTAGGTGTTTTTTTTATAAAAAATAACCCTTTGCGATATTTTCTTAAACTTTCACTATATCCTAGTGCTCCTAATTGCATTTGCAATATTCCACCAGGCCTGAATAAAGCGAAGAAGGAGGCAGAGGAACCAGGTTTTTTCACAGATCATCCATCTCATGTACTACTGTCAGGATTACAGGTTACTACTTCAACGTTATTTGTGTAAAAGTTACCTACTACAGCTTTAATATTTCATATTTTCTGTAGTTTTATATACTTTAGCCTATATCATTGTCTCATCAGTTATTCCCTTAATTTGCACAAAAGTCTGCAACACCCCTTTCACATAGTAGCCTATAGTTTGGCCTTAATATTTTGTTTTGTGTATTTCATGTATTTAGATTTTTTTTATTTTTATAGCTTTTTTCCTTAAACCAAATCACACTAAAAATTCCAATCTCAAGTAAGTGATTTTTTGGCCACCTTGAGGCAACAGAAACAAGTTGTGAATCATCACCTTTTTAGCTGAGATGTTTAACTCGTTCGCAAAATGTTGCTCATTTCCAAATCCATCAATTACAAAGAAACATCACTCATTTGGAGTTTGTGTCTACCTGATGAATGTCTGTTCAATATTCACTCTCTTTTAGTACTGTTTCTGCCCTATGGCACCTATTTAGCTGCTAAATACTCCGCTATGTTCACCAGCACTCTAACTCTAACTGTGTCTGTCGGCTGTTAGGTGCTGAGCAGTTAGTGGACAGAGGGTTGAATATTTTGTTCCCCTAAATAAAAACAAGGATTTTTGTAGTGTGGAAATATTTTTCTCAGAAAAACATCAGATACAGATTTTTGGTCCAAGCAGCATTTGTATACTGTGTATTAATACATGTCTGGGATCTTTAAAAGCGCAGAGGACTTGCTGCACCTTAAAATCAGAATCAGAAGTAGATTTTTACGTAGCCTACATTGTAAATCTTCGATGTAAATTTACAGCGTACAAAGAACTTGATGAAATAGAGATAATAAAGAGAGCCAATATGTAATATGTAATATTGAATAAATATAGAAAGAGACACTAGCTGACATTTATTTAAATAAATGAATGAAGAGCTGTACAGTTTGTACAGGAATGTGCACGTTCACAGTATGGCACATGATATAATCATCACACTATAATACTATCCATCATTGTTTTATCATTAGTGAAGAAAGTCAACTCTGAATCCATCATTTGTCATTTGACAACATGCTGTGCCCCTCCCTCCAAACTGCAGCGCGCGCACACACAAACACACACAAACACACACAAACACACACACACACACACACCTCTGAGCACCAGGGCTTTATAAACCCCTAACATTGCTATCGAGCGCAGTCTCTCTGTCACAGCACTACATCTTTATGTAACGTTTGCCCCAGCTGCTGCAGTCCAGTCGTACATGAGAGGAAACAAAACTCCAGTCCTCTCGGATATATTTCTATATTTAAATCGGAGGTGTCACGGGAGAACTTCCTTGGGAAAAGAAGCAAGAAGGATGAGTTCCGCCCGCCTGCTCCTCCAGCAGCCGTTGTTCGGCACAGTCCGGTGGTCGCCCCCGCTGACAGTGAGCAGCGGCTCGGACACAAGCGGCAGGTAGGTACCGGTCTCAGGATTGCATTTGAAGTCGAGAGCAAAAATGTTGATTGTAACCGAGAATTGCTAACTAACGTTATCTAAAGCAAACATATCAGCTGCTAAAAGCCACTTTCAGCTTCATCGCAGTTTGAATCAGTGTCGCCTGCATTGTGTTAGCTTAAAGCAGCTGCTTCTAAGTTGGTGGTAACTTGTTAGTGACTTGTTTCGTTGAGACGCACATTTTAACACACCACGGCTAGCATTATAGCAGTTGATAATACACACCTAACATACACTGTGTGTTGAAGTTTGCTAACAGTTAGTTAAGTTAGTTAACGTAATTAACGTTAGCTAAACTAGTCCAAATGGTTGCTGGGCGACAGTTGCAGCTGACTGTGATATGATCCTAAGCCAAATGTATCTCAGCAGTATGTGTTTTTTTATACAGTAGCCCAGGATCAGTTGGACTGCAAAATATGAGTCCAAGTGGACATATTTTAGTAGTTTTGTAGTTTAATAAAGCATGTAAAAGTGGCCTATGAAAACACGGATTAGTTCTGTTCTAATCAGTCCTCACTTGTGTCCCCCCTCCTGCAGTCAGCCCTCACTGTGGAGACCTTGGTTATCCAGCAGCAGGGACGGACCCAAGCAATTCCCACGCAGCAGGCAATCCTCTGTAAGTTACAACACCTCTACTGATCTGATGTCATTGATTCATTCATAGCTAGCATTTGGCAGTATTGGTTCTCAAAATACCATGATAGACATGATGCATGTCTGGTTGGTGCACATGGAACACAGGGTTAGGGCTGCAGTTACAAATAGTTATAAAAAATGAAGAATAACAGTTCTACAAAACCCCAACAATTCTTTCTAATGTTCTCTATGACCCCAAAACTGAGTGAATTTAATTGAATTTGTAAAGAGGTAACAAACCAGGGTGACTGGAGGAGTGGCTGCTCATTTAGTTTCAAGATTGGTAGATCATACCTTTAGAGAGGACATGGCTGCTGTCCTCCTGCTAGCACCTGCAGGAAGCCAACACACACTGAGTGAAAACCAGGGTGGGAAACTATTTGCAGTCAAATTTGATAAATTTTCAACATCAGCTGCACTGGCACATGACCAAAAGGCACAGTAGGGTCTCTTGATGAATTGTTATGTTATTATTATTATTATTATTATGAGATTAGTTCTTAATGTTATCAGGAAGATTGCAGTGTAGTTAAAAAAGGCAGCACTCCCCTCCCAAAAGCTGTGTTGCTTACTGCATGTCAGGGCAAAAGGAACACCTCTGGGGAGAGACTGGTTTAAGGGAAGTTCCCACAGTCCCCCGAGAGCGCACACCCCCCTTCACACGCTGAGTGACGTGCCAGCTCGTTGCCGCCTCAGCCTGTAATGTGTCAACGCTTTGCTGGCCATCTGACTGCCATCTGAGAGCTTAACAGTTCCATTGTAAAGGCATTTGTCACTATATTTGAAAAGGCAAAGTAACAGAGGCATAACAGTGATCTCCACACTATAGCACACTGTGTAGGTGTTTGTGCAGTCACAGTTTGGGTTTGCATGACTCATAGGAGGCAAGATAGACTGTAGTTCCTTTATCTTTCTGTGTTGTTTTTTTTCTTAAACCAAATCACACTAAAAATTCCAATCTTAAGTGATTTTTTTCGGCCACCTTGTGGATTCACAAGTTGTGAACCATCACCTTTTCAGCAGAGATGTTTAACTTGTTAGCAAATAGTTGCTCATTTCCACATCCATCAGTTACAAAGAAACATCACTCATTTGGAGTTGTGTTTGTGTCTACCTGATGAATGTCTGTTCAATATTCACTGTCTTTTAGTACTGTAGTACACTGTTAGTGGACAGAGGGTTTTTGGAGCTTTTTCTCTGATAACAGCTGCACCCAAAAACTACACTGGGAGAGTGGTGAGAGGGAACCAAGTAAACAATGAGCTGAAACTCACTATGTAAAAGCAAAGGGAGCTGCAGATTCAGCTGATGTGGAAGAGAAAGCAACCCTACTGTTTGAGTACACAAAAATCAACAGTTCTGAAGTACTGATGTTAACACCCAACAGTGACAATATGCACTCACTCCTTTGTCTCTGACTCTCTCAGCCTTACTCCAGACCAACGGTGCCAGGCTGCTTATCGTCAGATGGGAAATCTCAGGCCTTCCAGCACCCTGTCAGGTCAGTATCCTCTCACATGTTGAGTCTGCCTTCTGTCAGCACAGAAATTGTGCATGAAATCCAAACACTTCGGAGCGTAGTTTGATTTTACTGCAATTCGATACATTTCTTGTTATTCATTCAATAAACTCCTAAACTTAATACTTAACTTATCCTTTGTCTCTCAAACAGGCTATTCTGGCCCAAATCAAAGTCATTTGACTATCTATACAGTGACGGAGAGGCCCTGCTCAGGAACTTCCCCATTCAGGCAACCATCAGCTTTTATGATGAGTCTGACAGTGAGGATGAGAACGAGGAGGAATGGGAGGAGAATGGTAACTCTGAGGAGTGCCTCAAACAGCAGTCTCATTTCACCTCCTACAACTGAGTGACAGGGAGCCTCCTGGGAAATGGCTGACAGAGACTGCAGTTTCCTTGTTTATACTCACTTAATTGGTTTAGACTGCATTTGAAAGTGTGCGTGAAACACAGATTGGAAGAGCAAGATCAAAAACAACAGACTAATCTGCATTCTTTGTGTCAGCATGATTGTGTTTCAAGACTTTATCTGCTTTCATACAGCTTAACCTCTTAAGCCCTCAAATTATGTTGCCCACTTAGCAGCAGCACTGGGTCAAATGGCAGAGATTGTAATATTTGAGGGGAGCAGAATGTCTATCAAACTAATGTTTAGGATGACTTATTATTAGAATTAGAATTATACTGTCCATATTCATTGCAATCTCTCTCTGTGTAGTTGAGTGGTCTCACATTTTCTGTTGTTTGTACTGCACACAACTGTGGCATTTAGAATTCTGTATACAATCAACCCTTCCTAAGTCCCTCCCCTCTTGGCTCTGCGCTCCAAAAACAGCTGAGCAAGCCTCGGACCGAACCTCGCTTAACTTTTTCCTGTCCTGCAGGAAGGGTCCGTTGTGCAGTATCTGCATATCTCTGGTGAGAGAGGAAAGCTATGGGTCATGTTCTCCCATATTGGGACGTTTACAGTCAATCTCAGGGTCTGATTCTTCCCACTGTATATAGATTGTAATCTACACACATTTATAATTTATCATGTACATTGTACATAACTTTTACTTAAACTTATATTTATGTTGACTTTTTTTTATACATTAGTGCATCAGTCTCATTGTGTACTGTCCAAACTGAGGTTCTATAAAGAATAAAATAACCTATTTTGGGAATTAAGAATGTTTATCCTCATCTGATTTCTTCTTTATTTTTGTGTGGATTTGTTGTGGTAGGGATTTTTAACATTACTGTGTCCTTACAACCTTTTGATGTTCATCCAGTGCTTCCGATTGGCTGGTAGGAGTGGAGGTCTGCTCTCCATCTCTTAAGAGGGTGATATTAAATAGAACGAAAAGAGGGAATGTAAAGCATGGGAAACAACAGCAACAGACAGATTGGACTAAAGAACAAAGAAATTGCAAAGTAAGGAGAACCCACATTTAGCGAGTGAAATGAAAAAGATAGTCCTTACAGACTGATCTCTGTAGGGGTCAAAGGTCACAGGATGTGCCTTAGTCATGGTGATGGTGATGTCAGTATGCAGTTGTAACTTGGGTAGCAACATCCAAAATACATTCAGTTGGTACAACTGATTTTATTTATTGACAACCTGTTGCCTCCAAGTGAAAACACTTTTTTTGAATATCAAAAGAAAACCGTCACTACAGTTAGATATTAACTTAATCTACTCAATACTGGCTAGTAACAGCATTTTATAGAATGTTATGTTGCTAGCATGGTTGGTAGCCAGCAATCCCATGGTACCTTGAGTTTGGTCTGTCAACCATTCAGAGGCTGTTTTTCTGACTGTTCGACCAATAAGAGGCTGTGTGCCCGCTCTGATCTCAAAAATTAATTGGTTATCATAAAACAAGTTTCATTATTGTTATTATTATTTTATTTTTATTATTTTATTTGGAAATTTTGACAAGCACAGAATACATTGAGAATGTACTTAGACTATTATTTCCATTCTTTCATATATATATATGCATAAATGCCAGCATCAAAGGCAAATACATTATAATTATAGAACAGGCATATACGTTTTTATAATTTGGAGTGGCACATGAAGAGAAACAGAGCACCTAAACTCAGCTAATCAAAAAGTTTCATTATTTTTAAAATGGCCATATAATCAAATATGTCATCAAGTAACCACTGACAGTGTAATGTAATTATAATTATAATAATCTAATTACTCTTTCTTTTTAAATGTAATCTGGGTTGATTATAATTATCATGAGAGCAATGTGTACATCTACCACATACTCATATAGGGATAAGAAACGGGCCATTTCTCCAATACCGACATTTATAGTTACTTCCCGATGTCCTCCACACAAGATAAAACTCATACAGCAATGACCAACTGAAATGAAGGGTAATTAGGTCTAATTAACTTTTACAATGTTAGTTATATATTGCACTGGGGGCGTAAAACAATTTTTTAACAACTTTTAGAAACTATAGGAACCACAAGTAGCCCAGCATTCAGAGAACGTAGTGTTCTAGTGGGGTAATAGGGTACTATGAGCTCTCTCTATGAAGGGGCCTGACCATGAAGAGCTTTGTAGGTGAGGAGGAGGATTTTAAATTCTATTCTGAATTTTACAGGGAGCCAGTGCAGAGAAGCTAGTACAGGAGAAATATGATTTATTTTCCTAGTTCCTGTCAGTACTCGTGCTGCAGCGTTCTGAATTAATTGGAGTGTCTTAATGGATTTATTGGGTCAGCCTGATAATAAAGAGTTGCAGTAATCCAGCCTAGAAGTAACAAATGCATGGACTATTTTTTCTGCATCCGTCTGTGACAGGATGTGTCTAATTTTTGTAATATTACGTAAATAAAAAAAGGCAGTCCTTAGCTTTTTGTAGTAACAAATTATCCAGATTTAATTTACTTTCTTGAATTTCTGTCAACACAGTACTACTAGCTTGACTTTTATGTTGTTTCTGTAGTCTATTTATTTATTCAGTCAATTTATCTATTTCCTTATCTATTTCTGCTTTCTTTTTAGCTGTGAATCATAGCATTATTCCCCTTATATATGCTTTAAATTCAATTCAATTCAATTCAATTCAATTTTATTTGTATAGCGCCAATTCATAACAGAAGTTATCTCAGGACACTTTTCAAATAGAGCAGGTCTAGACCGAACTCTTTAAAACATTAATTACAGAGACCCAACAGTACCACCATGAGCAAGCACTTAGCGACAAGGGCAAGGAAAAACTGCCTGTTAAAAGGCAGAAACCTAGGACAGATCCTCCGGCTCTAGGTGGGTGGTCGTCTGTCTCGACCAGTTGGGGTGAGAGAGAGAGAGAGAGAGAGAGAGAGAGAGAGAGAGAGAGAGAGAGAGAGAGAGAGAGAGAGACAGACAGACAGACAGACAGGTGCACAGCAACAACAGTATTAGCAATGGCAATCTAGCAGGACCATGGCAGGAGGCTCCACCAGGATCGATAAGAACCTGCGAGACGAGAAAGCACAAGAACTCCGGGGAAGAAGTGAAGTTAGTAACATGCATTAATGGGACATGAATGAGTGCAGAAAGAGAGAGGAAGGGAGGAGCTCAGTGCACCATGGGAAATCCCCCGATAGTCTAGGCCTATATCAGCATAACTAAGGCTGGATCAGGTGAGTCCTGAACCATCCCTAACTATAAGCTTTATCAAAGAGGAATGTCTTAAGCCTACTCTTGAATGTGGTGAGGGTGTCTGCCTCCCGAACCACAAATGGAAGCTGGTTCCACAGGAGAGGAGCTTGGTAACTGAAGGCTCTGGCTCCTGTTCTACTTTTAGAGACTATAGGAACCACAAGTAGCCCAGCATTCAGAGAACGTAGTGTTCTAGAGGGGTAATAGGGTACTATGAGCTCTTCAAGATATGAAGGGGCCTGACCATTAAGAGCTTTATAGGTGAGGAGGAGGATTTTAAATTCTATTCTACATTTTGCAGGGAGCCAATGCAGAGAAGCTAGTACAGGAGAGATGTGATCTCTTTTTCTAGTTCCTGTCAGTACTCGTGCTGCAGCGTTCTGAATTAATTGGAGCGTTTTAATGGACTTATTGGGGCAACCTGATAATAAAGAGTTGCAGTAATCCAGCCTTGAAGTAACAAATGCATGGATTAGTTTTTCTGCATCTGTCTGTGATAGGATGTGTCTAATTTTTCTAATATTACGTAAATGAAAGAAGGCAGTCCTAGAGGTCTGCTTTATGTGGGAGTTAAATGACAAATCCTGATCAAAGATAAATGTGTCCCATATTATACCAATTTCCGGTCTATTTTCAGGGTTCCCAACATTAACATTAGTTTGAATAAATAAATCAATGTGGTTTTTAATATGTTTTAGAAATTCTGTATCTGTTAAATGTTTCCTATTCATTCTCCAAATTCTATGGTGTAGATTTTGTCTGGGCGACATACTACATACTACTATTGCGTGATCTGATATTATAATTTAATTTATATTACTTGATACTATTCTATCCAGGTCTAGTCTGGAGATAAATAAGTAGTCGATTTGGCTATAGCTGTTTTGAGGGTGTTAAAAAATATGTATAGTCTCTTGTTTTTGGTTGTAATGTTCTCCAAATGTCCTGTAATTCATTATCTAATAAGAACCTCAAAAGTCTTTTAGGTGGGTTAATTTTCGTATTTTTTGTAGAGCTATCCTGAGAGCAAAAAATATTGTTTAAGTCTCCCCCAAAAATTATCACTCTTGTTGGAGAGCTATTTAATACTGTTTGGATTTTACTTAAAAAAGACATATCCGAATTAGGAGGTTTATTATTATTAATAATTGTATAAAGTTCCCCAAACAATTTACATTTAACTATTAAAAACCGACCGTGGTCGTCTGCATGTTGTGAAATCAACTTAAAGGGTATCCTCTTGTTAATTAATATTCCTACACCTCTGCTTCTAGAAGTAAATGCAGCTTCAAATGCTTCACCCATCCAATGCCTCTTGAGTTGTTCAATTTGCCCAGGTTTAAAGTGGAGCTCCTGCATTAAGACAATGTCGGCGGACAGCTTCTGCAAATGTTGCATTACTTTTACTTTTTTTGTACCTTCCTGTAAACCATTTACATTCCAAGTTGCTATTTGAAATGTGTTAGGAAGGGTTTTCATGGAGCTTTCCGTTTTAATAGCCATAATCTATGGCGTAGTCCAAGGAAGCCTCAAAGAAGAACCCGACGAGATCACTCCAGCTATACTTAAGGAAAGCTAAGGCATAAAACACACTTACATGACCCTCCAACCACACACACAGACAAACAACCATTAACCCCCTGGTTTTCCCATATAAGACCATATGCTTTGCTAGAGCTATAACCCCTACTCACTTTGGCGTACAAACAATGGTTTTTATATATACTGACCCTCACTCACTCCTACATAGAGACTCAGTCACTTTTCTTTCATTCATTCATTCACCCCCCCCCCAACAACATTCTTTCTGCTGATCATACATGTGATTTTGCTAGTTTCTTCCAGCCCCTCACATGGTTAACATAAATTGGGATGAGGTCATGATTACATAACAGTCATGATTACATCATACTCATCATTACAATCATACTAATAGTACTTGTAATAATATAAATACAAACAATAATATTAGCAGAAACAAAGAAAAATAAAAAATAAACATGACTTCAATATTACTACTGAGATTTTTTTTTTTCATTTATATAAGTGACAAATACTTAAGTCACTATCTCTGTTAGAAATTCAAAAACAAAAACAAAACAAAGGGGGGAAGGAGAGAATTAGGAAGATAGAAGCAATTAGATTGAGAAGAGAGGAGAGAGACAGAGGCAGAGAGAGCACCCTGCATTTCTGGGGTGCTGTTTTTAGAAACGAAATGCTCAAAAGCAGCACCCCAGAAATGCAGGGTGCAGTGTTACATTTGTTCAATGTTATACTACAGGCAGGATGTTTTCCCAACATCTGGTGCAAAGGGCTCATTTCCCCCATTCATAAGAGTGGGGACAAATCAGACCCTAATAACTACCGTGGCATCTGTGTCAGCAGCTGTCTAGGTAAACTATTCTGTTGTATTCTTAATACAAGAATAATAGATTTCCTTGAGGAACAGTTAATCTTAAGTAAAAGTCAGATTGGCTTCCTCCCAAAACACCGCACCACCGACCATGTATATACCCTTCACACTTTAATCAACAAACATGTACAACAAACTAAGAATGGAAAAGTATTCACCTGCTTTATTGATTTCAAGAAAGCTTTCGACTCTATTTGGCATGAAGGGCTCTATTACAGACTTTTAAACTGTGGTATAGGTGGCAAAATGTATGATCTGGTTAAATCAATGTATTTGGAAAACGTGTGCTGTTAAAATTGGAGACAAACTAACTGATTTCTTCCCCCAGAGAAGAAGCGTTCGGCAGGGTTGCAATCTAAGTCTGACTTTATTTAATGTGTATATAAATGAACTGGCTGTTGAGTTAGATAAATGCGCTGCTCCGGGCCTCTCCCTCCTAAATAGAGAGATGAAGTCTCTGTTTTATGCTGATGACCTTGTTCTACTGCCTCCTACTGAACAAGGACTACAGCTACAGCTGGACGTAGTAGAAAAGTACTGTCAGAACTGGGCCCTGGCAGTAAACATGAAGAAAACCAATGTCATGATCTTTCAAAAACGCCCCAGGTGTCATGAGAACAAACACCAATTTACCATCAATAATCATGTCATTGAACACAGCATGAGTTATACCTACCTTGGTATAACCATAACAGCATCAGGGAGTTTCAACATGGCAGTGAATGCACTAAAAGAAAAAGCTTGAAGAGCTCTATATGCAATTAAGAGAACATTTTATAATACGATAGTGAAGTATGGGGTCCACTCAGTCATCAGAGCTTTACCCGTTGGGACAAACACCAACAGAATCTCTACATGCAGAATTCTGCAGATATATTTTAGACGTACACAGAAACACACCAACAAATGCATGTAGAGCAGAATTAGGCAGATACCCACTGATAATTAACATTCAGAAGAGAACGCTCAACTTTTTTAACCACCTGAAATCCAGCCCCAGAGACACCCTCCACTCCAAAGCCCTCCAAACCCAAGAGCTGAGCCCAGAAAAGAGTCCCCTATGTCAGTTAGGAGAAAACAGACAGTTGACAGGTGAGGTTGAGACAGAGATGCACTTTCTCCTACAATGCACAAAATTAAATGATACGAGAAAAATGTATTTGAACAAGTTCAGCTCTTTGGTACCAGATTTCAAAGAGCTGAACGACCTCTCCAAATTAAAAATACTCCTCGGAGGAGGAGAACGGGCACACCTTGCTGCCCAGTATGTATTAACATGCCACAACCTGAGGGACAGTGAGTGATCGAGGCACACGCACACACAGACACACAGACACACACACACACACACACACTGTATATAACTAATATAATTTTCATAATGTATATATCTTTCATATTGTGTATTATCTGATTATTTCGACTTATTGAATTGTATTTTGATGCTTTGCTTTGGCAATATTGTTTTTTTTTTTTTTTTAAACTTTCATGCCAATGCAGCCAATTTTGAATTGAATTTGAATTGAATTGAATTGAATTTTATTTGTATAGCGCCAATTCATAACAGAAGTTATCTCAGGACTCTTCAAATAGAGTAGGTCTAGACCGAACTCTTTATAACATTATTTACAGAGACCCAACATTACCATCATGAGCAAGCACTTGGCGACAAGGGCAAGGAAAAACTGCCTGTTAAAAGGCAGAAAGAGAGAGAGATGTTTACCCACACCCCTAATGCCGGACAGGAGCTACCCAGCCCATGGGGCGCCTACCCAGCGCTCCGGGGCAACCCCAAACCCATATTGGGTTGTTATTGGTCCACAGCGCTGGGCGTGCACCACACCGGCCCCACGAGCGCAGAGGTCTAATTTCTTTTCCAGTTCAGTGACTCGCGTTTTCTGCGCTTCTATGTCGACTTCATTGTCATGAGTTTTTCCGGTCAGCGAGTTTACTCTCAGTAACATAGTGTCCAACAGTTGTTTCGTTGAAGTGTTACTCTCCAGTATTTTGTCCAATTTCGCGCCCATCTCGTCAAGTCTAGTATTCATACTTGTGGTGGTTTGCCTCGCAGCTGCTCCTCCTGATTTCGGTTCGTCTTTACCGGGTTCTCCCATGCTGGATTTCCTCCGGTTCTCTTGCCGGTTTGATCTAGTCACTCATCAAAAAGGTCTCAAGAGTGATCTGTGCCGGTGTCATAATTATTTGTAATAAATTTCTCAAAAGTTAGTTTGAAATTAATGGGTTTTAAGCATAATTAATTCATTTGTTTGAAACGCGGTCAGGAGCGCTCAGCCCTTCTGAACTCTCGAAAAAAAGAAAAGAAAAAGGGCAGTCCTGGAGGTCTGCTTTTTGTGGGAATTAAAGGACATATCCTGATCAAAGATAACTCCAAGATTCTTGACAGTGGTGCTAGAGGCCAAGGTAATACCATCTAGACTTGAGTAACTACATCTTTAGACAGTGAGTCTCTGAGGTTTTTGGGGCCAAGTACAAAAATTTCGAGTTTAGCTACTTTAAAGGACTGTGGTACATATCCTGACAATAAAGAAAGATTGATCATATCAAGTAAAGAAGTGCCAATTAAGGGTACGACTTCTTTAAGCAGCCTAGTTGGGATCGGGTCTAATAGACTGGCTTCGATGTAGAAATTATTGAGGTTAACTGATGAAGATTGATAGCAGAAAAACAGTCTAAATATATATCTGATTTAACATTAGTTAAAGTTCCTGAACTTGGAGAGACAATACCCGTTGAGGGCATTTGGTTATTAATTTTGTCTCCAATAGTAATCATTTTATTATAAAAGAAGCTCATAAAGTCGTTGCTACTTGAGGTTATGGGGATATGTGGCTCAATAGAGCTGTGACTCTCTGTCAGCCTGGCTACAGTGCTGAAGAGGAACCTGGGGTTGTTTTTATTTTCTATTAGTGCTGAATAATAGGCTCCTCTGGAATTACAGAGGGCCTTTCTATAGGTTTTAAGGCTATCTTGCCAAATTGAACAATATTCTAATAATTTGGAAGAGCGCCATTTCCTTTCAGATTTTCGCGCTTCTTGCTTTAACTGGCGGGTTTGGTGGTTGTACCACGGTGCTAGTCTCCTATGTTTTAATATTTTCCTTTTTATAGGGGCAATAAAATCTAATGTTGTTCGCAGTGAGCCTGCAGCACTATTAACAAGATGATCAATTTGGGAGGGACTAAAGTTGTTATAGGACTGTTAAATTCAGACATGGCATTAAATTAAACACTGAAGGAATCTCCTCCTTAAATTTAGCTACAGCACTGTCAGATAGACATCTATTCAATTTCAATTCAATTCAATTTTATTTGTATAGCGCCAATTCATAACAGAAGTTATCTCAGGACACTTTTCAAATAGAGCAGGTCTAGACCGAACTCTTTAAAACATTATTTACAGAGACCCAACAGTACCACCATGAGCAAGCACTAGGCGACAAGAATGTTTTCCAGGTCGGGTGAGAAAGACTAAGAAAAAGGCTTTCAAATTAATTATAATTTAGTTTAGGTTTAGGGTCCATTAAAACGCTTGGTGCCTCTAGGAATGTGATTAATATGACTTGGGGGTGGATTAATTTAGGCTAACATACTCCTCGTGGTACAACCAGGTCTCAGTAAGACAAAGTAAATCAATGTCATAATCTGATATTAATTCAGTAACAAGAACAGCTTTACCTCTAAAGCTGTTGTTTAGATATGATTAGATAGTTGTACAGATATGTTTAACAGCCCACATTTCATTCTCTTATTTTGTGCTACTGAGGAGTTAGTTTTAATTTTTATTAGGTTTTTATGTTTAATTCCTCTTGTTTTTATTTAAATGATTTAGGTGGTCGGGGGACAGACACAGTCTCTATGGGGTTTTGGGTGGTTGACTGTTCTAAAGAAAGCGCAGAGAAATGTGTAAGACAGCAGCTCTGCTTCCTGGTCCCAACAATATATGATCGTTAAAAATACAAAAGTATATAATGCAGACAGGAGAACTATATACAAAGTTGCACAAACTGCCATTATTGTGTTCACTATTTGGGTTCATAGTAGAGAACAACTGATAAACTACAGTTATTATAAGGCATTAACAACAACATGGCTAATTGGGAACCACTGCTATAATGTACTATGTTATCAAGTAATAATAAAACAAAGTATCAAAGCGTCAAAGAATGATTTTATTTTCACTGTAATTATTTATTTATTTTTCTACATTCCAACCACGTGAGCGCGTGGTCGGACCCGCACTGAGAATGTCGGGAAGCTGAGTATTCCGGACCAAGGTGTGGCTTTGTGGAATTTTATGGTACACACATTCCAGGCGGAAAGAGTCTGTCCAGAGACGGGGAATCTGCCACAGATCCATGGTAACGTTTCACGCGGAGGCGAATATAAACCTTTGGGAAACCCTGGTGCCCGTTCAGACATCCCCGACCTCAAGCTCGAGCAGCTCGCGCCGTTCTCTCATTCTTCTCTTTCTTTGCTTCTCAGTAGAACTTTCCCCGCCCCCTTCCTCTGCGTCACTCGATGATTGTCAGGGCTGTGATTGACCAAACGCAGGGACTCCACCTCTTCCATTGGTTCCCCGATACGTCAATCACGGTCACTTTAGTGACTAGTGTGGGAGTTCCCTGGAGTCGGAGATGGAAGGAAAAAGGCTTTTATCAGGCGGAATGAAGGTAAGAAAGATGTTTTATATCCCTCTCTTATACAAGGTAGAGAGGGGACTGAGTCGTTACGAACCTGGAGTTTTAGCTTATGATGAAATGAGACATAATGTGTCGTTGGAAAAAAATTACTTAAAGTCAACATGAGTCTTGATAATTATTTTTTATATGTAGTTATAGAAGCACGAGAAGGCGCTGAGAGCTTCAGAAGCCTGTTTCTATCTGTCCAATACATGCGTGTGTTTTGGGTTCAAGATGAAGGTTTATTATTTAACTACATATTAGGGCTACATATGTTGGCTTTCAGTTGCAGAAACAGGATGCTACTTGATGAATAGCATTGTGTGTGTGTGTGTGTGTGTGTGTGTGTGTGTGTGTGTGTGGTGTTGTACCTGTGGGCTGGTGTCTGTCAAATATCCATCCCTACAAACTATTCCATTTAAAGCGGTCATCTCCCTGTATCCTAATTATTCAAGTTGGTCTGGATTCAAAGCCTCCCCCATCTCTGTTGCTATGGAAACCCCCCACCCCATCCCTCTCCATCTCTTCATCTCTTTCCATCTATATTTATAGTAGCCTATATTTGCCAGAGGTACAGCTAAATGGGGGCCATCTGCATGTAACATTTCAGAGAGTAGAGGCATGCATTAACTTAAAGTCTGTTTCCCAGGTGAAACGTGTCAGGCAGACCAAATTTGTGCTCAGTCAGTTACTGAAAACAATATCCTAACCGTGATGATAATAAACCAAAAAGGAGCAAAGAAAATATGACATACAAGCATGTAAGGGTGGACCATCTGATTGTGAAGTATCCACAGTGAGTAAGTTCATGTCCGTGTTATTTTATGATGATGTTATCTTTTGGCTTCTGTTTACTATGACAAATTAAACTGGTTTGAATCACAATTCTGAAAGTATCTTTAAAGCTGCAGTAGGTAACTTTTTTCAAATTAACCTTAAAAAAATCAGGTTCCTCTGTCTACTCCCAGTGCTCCCAATTGCATTTGCAAGAATCCACCAGGCTTGAATAAAAACAATCAATCAGAGCCAAGAAAGATTGCTGATTGTTGAATCTCCATCCCAGGTCGTCAAATACAGACTTGCAATTGGTGAAATGTGATATTATTTCTTAGCCAGATCTCCCACCCCTTACAAGCATGTCTTACAGAACTAAAAAAGACCACATAACCTGAAAACTGCATTACAGGAGGATCTGTAAGTAAAAAACACCTTTCAAATCAGTTTGAAGTAGATTTGTGCAAGACAGACCATGTTACATCTCTTCTCTTTACCCAATATATAATTCGTTATCTGTAATCATAACTTTGCTAAAATAAAGTCCTAAAGTCTTCTTGATCATCGGAAAATAATTCAAGAAGGGATGAATCCCAAATTATAAGACTAGAGCTGATGTTATTACATGTTATAATCCATTAATTACATTTAACTAGTGTAGACTACTGTTAAGACCCGGCTCGTGGGGGAGAGGGAAGCAACATGAACCAGAATGTTTTTGGTAAAATTGCTTAAAGAGGTCTCTCCAAAATGAGAGATAGCCACTGACTACTTCAAAATCAAATTAAACAAAACTCTGACCCGTCATCAATAATCAAAAATACAAAGTAAGCAGCACCCTCTAAAACCTAGTGTGTCTAACATAAAATCAATCTACAGGTGTCCGGTGTGTGTCAGTTACCCCTACCTAGGCGGTAGATGATTGGAGGGATTGCCAGACGCCGCACCAATCAGATCACCGGCTGGAACCAGGAAGTAGGCAGGTCTCGCGCCAGCCAATCCTCGGCAAGGGATCACACATCCTGCTTAACATGACACAGCTGCACAACACAGCTACACATCTCCAGATAATGGAGGTGGCCGTAACACCCCTCCCCTTAAGATGCAAACCATAAGTTTGTAACAAAACCACCACCTTACAACTAAGACTATTTTTATACTCTTGATAGAGCATCAGCTAACACATTTTCAGATCCTTTCTTATGACGTACATCCAGGTTGCAATCTTGCACGACCAAGGCCCACCGCATGAGTCGCTGGTTGTGGTTATACATGCGAGACTGTTGTATGATATGTAAATCCACTGGCAGAGTCTTGAAACCTACTTGAGAAGTGATGAAACTCACTTCTTCTTCTCACCAAAGTAGGCCATTGTGTGCCAGTTTCTCTACTTGCAGGCATGATGCTGAAGTGGATTTATGGTGGTGCGATAAGCCAATAATGTAATTATTGTGACAGCCCTAATCATATCCCTTGATTTAAGTCAATCACCACCCTTTGCCAGTGGTAGCGCTACATGTCATCAGTCATGACATACATCTGGTACATTTCAAGAAACAATACACTGGCAGTCAATGATGGAGAGGTAAGGGCTGTCCACACCAAGAAAGATAACTATAACAATAACTATAGATAGAGTTCTAAAAATCTTTCTAACTAAAGTGGAGTCCACGCCACAACTATAACAACGATGACGTAGTCGAACAATATCAGTGGGAACACTTTCAGAGTGATTTGATGAACAAGACTATGGTATAGAACATAATTTTAGCTGAAACATACTGCTAAAGGGTCTTTAGTGCTGATGGGGTCTGTGAAGTTGATTTGGTTCTTTTAAAACAGCTGCCAATATTTCCTGGGATTTACCTGTATTTCAAAGCAAATTCCCGGCACCCCCAGTTTTTTGTTTCTCCAAGGAATTATTTGTTTACAATAAGGAATAATCGCAAACTTTCAATCTTTATGAATAATGATCATACACAGAGTTTCTACATACAATTTAACCCAGCTGTCACCGTAACCTGGAAACTTGCAAGTCGATTCAAGTGGCATGTGCAACGGGCCAACTACAGAAACTTAAAGGGCCATTGTGTAGGATTATTGGCATCTTGAGATGTAATTGCAGATAGCAACTCCCTCGCTTCACCCTCCCCTTTCTAAGCACAAAGGAAAAACCCAAACGCCCCTGTCTAGAGTCAGTGTTTGGTTTGTCTGTTCTGGGCTACTGTAGAAACATGACAGTTCAATATGGCGACCCGCTCCCTCTCTAGATAAAAATGAAAACATATTCATATTTTTTTTTCTCTTTTGAACTGTGACAGGTATGTACTGATGTTATTTCCTTTTTTTTTTAAACCAAAATATTAGGGCTGGGGGTAAACGATTATTTATTAAACGATTAATCGGGCGATTATTTTATCGATTACACGACTAATCTAACGACTAATTGGACAATTAACGTGAGTTAGCTAACGTTAGACAGATAACGTTAAAAGCTACTGCAATCTTCTTGCTACCGTTAGCTAGATCTAGCAGCTGTGCACTTTGGTGGTGCTAGGCTAACCAACGCATCTTAGCTCTCTCTCTGAAACGGAGGCACCCCTTTGCCACTCGCGATGGAGACAACAACAAGCAACCACCGACGCTGGCCAAATCAATCTCATGCCCGTGCAGCGCGCCGCGCAGCCCGAGCTCCACGCACCCCGGTGGCGCCAGCCAACCACCCCAGCCCCCCGCGCAGCCCGCCCGCGGCAGGCCAGCAGCCAAGGTCCACTCCTGCCAACGTTAGCTACTATAGATAGATGTGTTCTGCAGCCGCACAGCTGTCTAGACGCCAGTAGCTAGCCAACGTTAACATTAGCCACCAACACACCACACAAACATGAAACCAACCCAGCCAACGGCAGCACCCACCTGCCACCGTCTCCTCCATGAGCGACAACAGGGCGCCTCCGCCACAGATGCTCCCACATTGCCAAATGGAGTTGGCATACCACACCAGCACAACAGCAAAGAGCGCAAATAACGACACCTTTACGTTTGAGACTAAATCTGAAGTATTCCGGGCGAGCTGTTTTTTTAGGACTTTTTCTTTTATTGGGGCTTTCATTGGGAATTCTGTGAGGAGGTTGCTGTTTCGTCCTCCATTCTGCAATGTTTTGGTCTCTCACGTGTGTGTGTGTGTGTGTGTGTGTGTGTGTGTGTGTGTGTGGAGCTGTGGCAAAGCGTCGACACAAAAATTTGACGTTGGCGTATTTTTGACGCCGACGCATCGCTACAGGCCTACAAAATATGAATAAAATTTACCTTCAGATGACTTCAAAAAACTCTTGTAGCAGAGTGTTGGATTCTCCTAACTCTTTTCATCTTTGAAGAACTTTGTGAACCCAGGTCTTCTGGTTCCCCTTATGTTTAGCTCAAATATAAGAAAATATGGAATCTGGAAATATAAATATGGGACTTTTATTCTTCAATTTCTCCACATTGGTACAGTAAAAATGCTTGATATTAAGTATACTTGTAGTCTTAGATGTGTAGAAGTCAAATATATCATCCATAGCCAGGAATTATTGAGCAGTGTTTTTACAGTAGCTCAAATATATGAAAATACCACTTGGAGATACAAATATGGACTTTTATTTTGGTATTTCTCCACACTGGTGCAGTAAAGATACTTGATATAAAGTGTTTTTTTATTCATCAGGGGCACAACACTTTAATGTAACATATTTTAATTATAGCTTACAGCTCTAAATACCTTTATTTTGAAAACCGGAAGTAAATACGCTGTTTCTCCGCATTTACCATAATGCTGAGAATACTTGTACACTCTAAATTTAAGTGCGGCTGATTTGACCACGGAGATCGGACTCACGGCTGGATTGACCGCAGTCTACTAGCCTACTGTTTCTTCTCCACAGCACCGTCCTGTAAATGACAACATCCGGTCTCAGAATATGAAAAAACAGGCCTTTTTTCTGTTTGTTTTCTAGTGATTTTATTTTTTGTTATATGAAATAGAAAATGAAAATCGAATCATTTTTTTAATTTCGCTCATCCCTTTCTGACCATGAAGAAGAAAAACGCCTTGTATTTCAATTTTCATTTTTGTATTTTAAAACGAAAATCAAATAACCACTCGTTTTCAGTTTTTTAATACCCGTTTCTGAAAGGAAAATCCAATGACCAAAACATACACGGACCTTTTACCTTACCTTACCTGTCCATATATTCATACACTAAGAATAACTGTGGAATTTAAATAAGATGAGTGGAATATTCATTTACAGCTGGTCAGGACTAAAACTAGAGTTGATCTTACATCTTTACAGTCAAGAGGTCTTCCTCAGGCTTTTGATTTGGAACTATGAGCTCCGTAAAGCCACTGGGAGCTTTAAACATTTGTATTTTAGCATCCTCTGAAAGCTGAAGCTAATAAATTACTTAAGTTTACAATAATATAGTTTTGGTCATCAAATAATAAAAGAAAACAAGTCATGACCAAATGAAAAAAAATACAAAAATCATACACAGGTTGTAAATAAAACAATATCTTGCTGAGTTGTGTACTCAGATTACCCCGAATGCTTTTTTCAGAAAGGTTGAAGTTTTGGCTGTTAGTATTGTCTAAATAACAGATATTACACTTAACAGCTAATATTTCTAGGCCATCAGTTAGGTTGATCAGATGCCAGGAAATCAATCATTGCTGTATCCAAGTTGAGATGGTGAAATATGTCTCTTGAAACATGTCAGGTAGGAGCACAGAAATTAAGCATTGAGCTGCTAGACAGTGATCCATCCTTGTGAAATGATTGTGTCTGTCATATTATCTAATGCTGTGCTGTTGTCTCCTTGCAGGTCTGGGGTCTGTCAGTGTGAGTAGCAGCGCAGGAGCATGGCCGCTGGTGAGCACAAGACGCACACACATCTGTCGTCTCAAAAACAAAGGTCAACCTCTCCTCAAACATACACACACACAGCAAGCTATAGTCATCCATCAATCTTCCGATGGCTGGCTGCCTTTTGCCAACAGAAGAAGCTCTTCTGTGTGTATCCCTCAATGGGAGCAGGTTTTGGATCTGGTCATTCCAGAAAGCACAAATAGCTGTCACCTTCTGACTTACCACCTATTTCTGGACCAGATTTACCAAGTCTCTTCTGCCTCAATTCCGATTCAGTAGAATCTAATATAAAATCTACATGATGATGGGGCGCCCTGGTAGCTCACCTGGTAGAGCTGCCGTTCCATGTAACAAGGCTGAGTCCTTGCTGCAGCGACCATTGGTCACTATTCATTAAAGGTAATAAAATCTGAAAAAAAAAAAATATATATTTAAAAAAATCAGCACAATGATAAATCGACACGTTTACCTTTTTTGATTATAAATGGCAGTATTGTGTTTCATGATATTTCCCTGTGCTGGCTTATAACATGTTTGTCCTGGTTAAGTCCAGTGTTAACAGTTAGAATTCTGTATTTCTGTGCTGAAATTGGGCTGATTTACAATGGGTTCCCATGCGTCCTGGAAAACCTGGAAATTTAGAGACTAGTTATCTAGTCATGGAAACAACTGGAAATTAATTAAAATTACCAAATATCTTGGAAATCATTGTTTCGCTTTGATAGGCCAGTGGCAACCAAGGTCAAAGTTAAAAAACTGGAACTCCCCACCAAGGTAGCTCCTCTGCCTTGTTGGAAGTCATCGCTCTCCCCCTTACGTTAAACAACAAAATGTCCTCTGAGCGCACACACCTACAAGCATACATACACACCTACTAACACAGACACATGCCAACGTACACCCACTTACATTTCTAGGCCAGTAGACTGTTGGGTAAGCCAAATATGGATGGCTGTGGCTCAGAGGCAGAGTGGGTTGTCCACTAATCGGAAGGTTGTTGGTTTGATCCCCAGCTCCTCCTGCCACATGTCGAAGCATCCTTGAGCAAGATACTGAACCCTGAATTGCTCCCGATTGGTGTGTGAATGTGTATGAATTAGTTAATAATAATGCATTTTATTTGTAAGCGCTTTTCTGAATACTCAAAGACAAATCATAGAAGCAGCGAAAACAGCATCAAATAGTAAAAACACTGAAAACACATCGGACACAGCTAAACATGACCAGTTAGTTAGTTTCTGTTGGATGGGCTTTGCCATCACTGAGTGAATGTGTGTAAAAGGGTGAATGTGGCATGTAGTGTAAAAGTGCTTTGAGTGGTCGGAAGACTAGAAAGGCGCTATACAAGTACAGGTCCATTTACCATTTGGTTTCTTTTCTGTGTTGCAGCATTCCTCGATGGTAAGGATGCTCACTCCGTCCTGAAGCGTTTCCCCCGAGCCAATGGCTTCTTGGAGGAGTTGAGACAGGGGAACATTGAGAGGGAGTGTGGTGAAGAGAGCTGCAGTTTTGAAGAGGCCAATGAAGTGTTTGAAAACAAAGAGAGAACGGTGAGATATCGTACAGGCAGGCGTGTTCACCAACTCCATCAACTGTGGGAGTACTGCATTGACTAGGAGTAGAAACAGTAGCTATGTAATAGCACTATAACTTAGTTGTATAAGTATGTACTATTAACCCTGTATGAACGCTATAGTTGTATGGCCTGGCTGAGGTTAAACCTTTTGTCAGAGTCATAGTAGAGCGGGTCTTGACTTTGCAATCCTGGGGGAAAAGATGGCTGTTGGGAAGTTGCAGTCCCATTTTGGGTCTAATAAATGTGATATCTGATTGGTGCACAGACACAGAGGAATGTTCCGGCACCAATGCCAGAATGGAACAACTCTACTAAACACACCTGTGGTTGCTGTAAAATCCATGTATACATATCAGCAGATCAGTATCACACTTCTCTCCCTACCCTGTTTAGTGTCAGTTTCAGTTGAAGTCTAATTAAGCAAACAGCTCAATATGAACCCAAGGTACAAAAATATATAATGTTTAATTTGTGCTTCCCAGATGGAGTTTTGGAAAACTCGCAGCGTCTACACAGTGAGCAGCAACAGTGAGGGTCGCTCTGAGCGTGCCGACACCGTCTACATGGTGGTTCCTCTGCTGGGTGTGGCCCTGCTTATCATCATCGGCCTCTTCCTCCTTTGGAGGTGCCAGCTTCAGAAGGCCACTCGCCGGCGGCCAGCCTACACCCAGAACCGCTACTTGGCCAACAACCGCAGCACCCGCACCTTGCCACGCATTCTGGTTCATCGGGAAACTGCGGTGCACAATGAAGGCTCGCACCAGGAGTCCAGCCCACGTCCAACTGTGGTAGTGAGTGGTGCTGAGAGAGGAGGTTCCCAGTCTGACTCCCATGCCCTCCACCAGCAGAACACTCATGCCCTCTATGTTCAGGACTCCTCCCTATCAGTGGCCTCACGGCTGTCCGGTGCCACGCCACCTCCATCTTATGAAGAGGTGACGGGACAGCTGGAGAGCAGTGGTGATGAGACCACAGCACCTTCATACAGTGACCCTCCACCCAAATATGAGGAGATCATAAAGGAGAAATGAAACAGAGACAAAAATAATGCTGCCATGGCTATTGCACCCCCAGTGTATCTGAAAGAGGTCAAGGCTGGCAAAAAAGCAGTTGCTTTTCTCTGGTCTTCATTTTATTTTGGCAAACTTTGAATTGCAGACTTTGTCCCTGCTGCAGCCATAGCGGGGACTAAATGTACAACAAGGTGCGAGGAGAGGATTTGGAAAGCAGGACTCACTAATCCACAGACTAGAAAAGCAGGCAGCTCTCAGTGCACAGTGTCACTGTGACTGTAAGGTATCCTTTCCAACTGAGCGTCCTCTCTGTCAGTGTACATACACTACAGTATGACTCTTTAAACTGTATCTACATACGCAAAGTGGAAGTATTGGGACTGAGCCAAAGTTATTGTTTAGTTGAATGATCTCATGCTTTCTTGTTGTTTTAGGTCATTTACAAGTTTGGTTTTCACAGTTAGAGTTAAAAGTGAAGCACGTATGTAGGCGTGATTAAAAAGCACTTAGAACATCTAAACTTTAAAGGAAAGACCCATAATCAACAGCCAGTTGGGCTCAGGGTTATCTTTTATGCTAAATCTGTGTTCGACTTTAGATAATTCAACTGCGAACAAGACTTCCTAATACTTACGCTAGTGACTGTATCTCTATTATTGTTTTCAGACCACCTTCACACACCAGCTGCTCACTTACTGTAAGAGCAAATCCCTGCATTTATTGTTCCTTTTCACTAAGTCCTCCAACCAGACAGATTCCCCTCATGTGATGTCATTTAGCTGTAATGGACCTCAGACAGGACAGGTTGCTGAGAAAATGCCTCTGGAATAAACGGGTGTGGGCCATGGCCTTACGGTGTTGACAGAGGGGACAGAAGACTGTTGCCAAGTACTCTACTCTGTTTAGTGCTTCAGGACTGATTCTCATGAGGTCACCAAGGTCTTAATTTCCTCAGCACTGTACCATACAGAGGCATGTTTATTTACTGCCAAATGTACCTTGTCTTAAAACTTACCATATGTGCTACTTGACTACTAGTCTTACCATCTACTTGTGGACCAAACTGATATCTACTGTGTTCAGGCCAGTCTCCCACTGCAGTTTATGCTGGGGGCTTGGTATTAATACGTTAAAACCAGTAATTTTTCTATCCAAAATTCCCAATTCTTGTGTATTTGTTGGTCTGGGTTAGTAAACCTATTGCTCAAACGATTAGGTGATTAGCTAATCAACAAAACATTTACTATACTTACTTTAATCAATTTATGAATAAGGTCATTTTAGTCATTTGTTAAGCAAAACTGCTAAACATTTCCAACTTTAAAATTTTTTTTGAGGACGTTTTATATGGTTGTAAATTGAATATTTTGGGGTTGTTGGACTGTTGGTCCATAGAATCATTTATAATGAAATCAGTAGTTGCGATGCAAGCATAAATACATCTTTCTGCCCTCTAAAGCCGAACAGGAGTATTAAACTAAGTGGACCTAGGAGGCAGTCTGACACAACGAGAAGAATCAATATAATTTTATTGCCAATGCCAAAACCTTCATATGCTTCTCTTGATGTGACTTTTCTGGTAGTGCCATGAAATGCAGGACAAGTAGAACTGCTGCAAAACTTAGGACAAGCATATATGACCCCGTTTTCAGGGGCAAATCAAGAGAAGACGTAATTCTCTACCAAGATGATCCAAATACGCACAAACATATACATTCACACATGCACAATCACAATTATGTATATGTACAATGTGTATTTGAATGCATGTACTGTATATGAATAGATAAACACATACACATTCAAAGACATTCACACCCCAGGCACAAGCGACCCAAATCTGATTTCTTTGCCCATATGTGACTCAGATCAGTTTTTTTCATGACAGTGTGAACAGCACAAATCAAATGGAATCTATTCTTTTCAATTCTGATTCAGGCCACTTTCATATGTGGTACAAATCAGATACAGGTTGATTTTTTGCAATGCAACCTCAGTGTGAATAGTCTTATCAGAGTCTGTGCGACTTTTATGTCACTCTTGATCTACATTCGTTGTGCAGGTCACTTCAGGACCGTAACCTGTTCACACTGGAATCTGTTATGGGCCACATTTAACAAATAATGTAAACAGCCAAACAAAAAATATCAGATTTGAGCAATAACTCAGAATTGACCACTAAGGCCTGCGGTGTGAACTTGGCCGAACAGTACAATCCCAGTGACTCAGTATAGCACTGATATTACAGTTGCAGAGTGGATTGAACTGTTCTTGCTTCAGTCCTACTATTATATCACAACCTTTAGTTGTTATATTTTACACGGTGCGATTAGTGCAGCAGTATAGTTGTGTGGACACCAGATACAGTCAAAGTAAATAATTGTAAATAACAATAATAACTTGCGTTATTAAGTGTGGAGATGCAGTCTCTCCCTCACTGGAGAAATGACATTATGTAATGCTGCACTGGGTAAACTTCAAAGATATGTGTACTTTACATTTTTGCTGGCCATTTTCATATTCAAGCTGTACAGTTTTAGATTTTGTTTATGTATATTTCCAATGTTGGGTTTTCTGCCACAGTCTGGTGGTCTGGTCAGTTAATTTTCAAATCATCAGATTCTTCATATTTTGGTTTTAAACTGTTACCATGCCATGATAACCTTGACAAAAAACTCATGCACAAACTATATGGCTTACACAATTTGCAGTCAGTTAACAGATTTTTAAAAGTCAATCAGCACACATCTTAAAGCACAAAACTTTCCATCCTATATTCAGTGAAAAAAATAAGAGATGTTATTAAAAACATTTCTGGAAGACATTTTATCTACCACCAGTCCTGGCACATTCTCATTTTGCCGACCCACTGTGCACTTTGATAAATAAATAGGATGTAAGACATCAATGAGATTTTTCAAATATGGAGAGGAGGAGCAGAAACCTTGCTGTATTATTTTGCCTATATTAACTGTATATTTGACAGAATTACAATCGGCTCAGGTATCCTTGCCAGCAGCTGCAGCAGCACCACCAGTATTTGTACATGAAGATACATTTTACAATATAGATCAATTGAAAATATTATGCTTAAAAGGTCCAGTGTGTAACATTTCTATTGGCAGAAATGGTGTATAATATAATAATTTAGATATGTTTTCATTAGTGTATAATCACCTGAAATTGGTTGTGTTTTTGGTACCTTAGAAGTTAGTTTCCATCATAGTTTCTCCTATATGCTTGAAACAGGAACGTGAGGCAGACGGCCTCCCACCCAGAGGCTCAAGGTTTCTGCCTCCTAAAATGGAGATTTTCCTTGCAGCTGTTGCCAAGTGCTGGCTCATGGTGGGAAGGAGTACAGTCTAGACATGCTCTGTTTGAAAAGTGTCCTGAGATAACTTTAGTTATGAATTGGCACTATACAAATACGATTTAATTGAGGTGAGCTATTGAGCTGCAACTTCACCGCTAGATGACACTAAATCCTACACACTGGTCCTTTAATACATACCATATAGAAAATACATTAAAAAATCTACAACATCTACCATGGTTTGCAAAATGGTCAGTCATGATGTAAAGTAGTCTTTACGTGATTCATTCATAAAACATGCAAAGCAGTATGGTTTGACTACATTGTTACACAAGAATGTAAAATGCTCCTGGTGCAGCTTTAGAACCATATTATTAACTGATAAAATGGATATGTGTCACTGTAAAACAAATAATATTCTACAGCAAGAGGAGTTGTCTCTGTTTGCCACAGCCACTGCCATGGTTACCAGTTCCATTCCCTTTAGGCTACTCTGCACATCCACCAAAAGTGACACATTCAGTCTGTGTTCCAGTAATGAAAAGTGTCTCCATGTTAATACTTTAGGTTTACATTTTTGTTGCATATTAGAGTTTTACCTCACCACGTCTGATAAGGTGCACTTATAGCTTTCCGCCAGTGGCTTATTTTTGTATTCTATCATATTAGTTATTGCCTGCAACTGTTAGAGATCGGGCCTTTGTTCTACCACATTCCAATAAGACATATCCACTGTTAATAAAATAATAAATGATTGATTTTATTCTGTATTTTCTTTCTACCAAAATGGATGTATTGAATATTGAAATATAATTGTGCTACTCTCTTGTACTACTTTCACATAGGCCTTTATCAAACTCACAGATACTTTTCAGCCAAAGCTGTGTGGATGCAATTCTGTACTTCATCCACCTTTACAAACAGCATCTGTGTAGGTCTTGCCAGACCACAGCTTCACCAGCTCTAGTACACCAAGAAGGAAGCACATGTTTTTATATCCTCCCCTGCACTGCTGCTTTACTGTCACACAAGCCCAAGACAACATGTTTTTTTTGGAAAACTTTGCATCATGGTGCTTCTGGAATGTCTACCACTGTATAATTTACTTCACTGCAGGATACTTTAGATGCATTCAAGAAAGAATATGTGTGATAACTTTGGGACTCTTGACAGCAGAAATAGATATCTTGTGTCTATAATCCAACCCGTGACCAGCTTGTAGCTTCATAATAAAGAGCTGTGTCCCACAGGGTTCGAGTTTTAATCTGAACTTTGTGTGGGTCTCTAAAATAGTTATCAACAACCTGAAACTGCCCTGCAATATTGCAACAAAGTCCCAATATCCTGAAATATGCCAATCGAGACCCATCTCAATTCAATTCAATTCAATTCAATTCAATTCAATTCAATTTTATTTGTATAGCGCCAATTCATAACAGAAGTTATCTCAGGACACTTTTCAAATAGAGCAAGTCTAGACCGAACTCTTTAAAACATCTCTCAAGTGCAAATGCTATTCTGCCCTTTTTGATAACAATACACAGTAGGTGTTAACCCTATTTTACACACTGTTTGCTGCAGGTGTACAGTACCCTATCCTATGTAGTGCTCCACTAGTGGAAGGGTGCATCACTTTTTGCAAGTTGTAAACCCAAAAGAAAGCAAGAAGTCAATACAAAAGCAAATAATAGTCATTAAATGTAATAATGTATTATTTGTGATTCAAATAATGTTTTTTTTTTTGGTAATGTACAGTATTAGCAACTCCCCCAGGTATGATTTTACTGCTTTCATGGGAGCTCAGATCCTTCTTATGGGAGCTCAGCTCCCACTGGCTCCATCTAACTTGAACCCTGGTGTCCCATGCATGGGGGTGGTCCAAATAAGAGCCACTGCTTTAAGCAAAATGCTATCCAAATCCTGCAGTCAACACTAACATTATGAATGTTTTAACATTGTTGCGACTGTGTTAGAGGAGAGATTAATAGAATAGAAAAACATTTATTTATTAGTTGTACAAACAAAAATAATGTTAGGAGTGTCCAATGTCCTTATGAACTGAATATCTTTGCGATTAGGCTTTCACCCTAGGAAATAACAATGGGCATTTCCATGAATTTCTGACATTTTACAGACTAAGTGATTCATTAAAAACAATCAACAGATTAGTTGAATGAAAATTAAAATAGGTTGCAGCCCAATGTTTTTGTGGTTGTATTGCAGTGTGTGATAACCTAACCTAACCTAACCTTCTTACAAGGGCACTGTGAAGAGCTGAACTTAAGCTATATTCACAGAGCCTTCACTCTCTGATCCTGGATTAGGAAAGTTAAAACAACCAAAGACCTAATAGAATAATGAGGACACACCACTGAATTTGTCAAAAAAGCCCATTAAGTATGTGTCATTGTTAAAAACATAAGTAACAGACAGAGAATTGCGTAAAAAGTTCCCAAAGATATCAGAAAACTACAGTTTATCAATTGTTCTCTACTGTTATTGTTACATCTTGAATGTAATATGAAATATCCATAAAATATGTCACAGTTAACTCAATGGGCACTATAGAGCCATTTTGCCACACCAAAGGAAAAAGGTGGGGAACCACTGGTGAAAGATATTTGTTCTGGTTTCAAAAGGTTTAAATAATCTTGTGTCTATGTTTGTGAGTGTGATGTGTGGGCTGATGTGCCAAAACAACATCCACTGAGATCTCTGTAGTCTTCCTTTATATTCTGAATAATATATCCACCCTCTCTTTTTGTGTATTTAGACAAATCCTTCAGTGCTTTTCAGAGTCATTCACTGTACACCATCATTGTGTATTTCCTTCCTCCTTATCTTCATTATGATGCTTAGCTTTGCCATTTGCCTGGATTAATATGAGGTTCCATGTGCATTTACAGCAGGGTCATCTGACCCTGTCTGTGTGTGTCTGTGTGTGTCTGTGTGTGTGTGTGTGTGTGTGTGTGTGTGTGTGTGTGTGTGTGTGTGTGTGTGTTAGCTGTCAGAGAAGGGGTTTTCCAAGAGATATAATTACGTGCGATACCAGGATTTTTCATGTCTCTCATGACCTGTTCTTTACCATCTCCCACACTGATGTAGATGAAGATTAAAAATATCAGTGAGCTAAGATATAAATGTAGATTATTGGCAGATAGCATAGCTGTGTGCGGGTGGTGGGTTCTTTACCTGTCAAAGAATGTAGAAGCACTCTGCAAATGTTTGAATCCTGTAGACCATTGTAGTTTAATTGGTGGATTCAAATAAAGCATTTCAAATGCATGTGTGTATGCTAATATGCACATTTTTAAACGGTTAAGTTGTTTTCATTCAATGATCTGTGTGCTACACCTACACAATATGCAGTGTTTATATAATATGTATCCATATTGTATTAATGCATATAAATAAAGGATACCATCCAGTTTTATAATGTTTTATATGAATTTCTAGCATTTATAGTGGCTAATGATTATTTTCATTATTATTCAGTAAATAATTTTTCTACTACTACTATTATATTTATTTCCTATTTTTTATATGGTTATTATTATTATAGATAAAATATATCAATTATTATTATCCCACACTGACAGTGAAGAATGTATAACAAATCCCCCCTGAAATACCCATCTAAACTGCAGTAACTGCATTATGTCACCATCATTATTACATTTATTATCACTGTCCTCCACCTTCTGTCTTTTTCATATATGTACATCAAGTTATGCATTTCATCTTTTGTAGTTTTTGTTTGTTTTACATATTTTTTATTGTCTTTGTGTATTTTTTTTCCTGTTTATCATTGTTGTATTTGTAAAGTCACTACTGTTAAGTTTTTGTTTTTGCACCACTAAAAAAACTATTAAAGGTTCAGTGTGTAACCTCTAGGAGGATCCATTGTAGCATGGTGTTTGAATTTAGGAGAGGGATTTGGGACCAGCGTTGATCATATATAGTGAGATTTATCACAGTTCAGTTTAGGAAAGTTCACTTGCTTCCATGATTCAATTTTGGTGAGGCAGTTGATGAAGTGAGTTGCAGTGACAATGAATGTAGTGGAGATATAAAGCTGGATATAATTACGTTACTTATTAAGAAAATGGACACCAAGACGACAGGTGGTGTTTACATGTAGAAGCTAAATCCTTTCAATGGCATTTTTTGAAAGGCTAAAGCTGCTCTGAAACTCATGGTGAAAATGTTTATATGTAGGTTGTGTGCATTGGTGTGGCAAAATGGCTCTATAGTGCCCATATAAAATTTCAAGGAACTAGCCTATGCAGTACAAGATAGTACAATTGGTAGGCACATGTATAATGTCCAGACTAGCCTACATGAAATCCTCAACACAACAGGAAGTCAGCCATTTTGAATTAATTTTGCAATTTTGTTGCCATTTCCAGGTAGGCTAGTGTACTAGTACTAACAAATTAGAAAAGTAATAACATTGACTTCAACTTGGGTCAGTGCAATTTACCACTATTCAATTTTATTTCATCAATCAAGTTTAGGTTAATGTTGATGTTAATCTTAATCCCACCAAGAAACAGGAGGATAAGTATGGAAGCCCATTTCCGCCAGAGAAAAAATAATAATAATAACAAAAATACCCCCCAAGTAAGTCATAATTATGAAATAAAAAAGTCATTATTATGAGATAAATAGTCATTATTATGAGATAAAAAGTCATTATTATGAGATAAGAAGTACGCATGCGCCTCAACGGCAGTGTTTTGTCTCTTCCTAACCACGCTCACAATATGCAACCCTAAATGAGGTAACTATAGGTTTTACTTTACCTAAACATATCTCATCATACCGATAGTTGGTAAGTCAAATATTGCCATAGCTATATCCTACTGTTCATTAAACGTGAAGCTGTGAAGACCTACATTAGTTGAAAAGTAACGTGCGGATATTTTAACGTTACACGTCCGCCGAGTTGTCCCCTGTTGCCTTACAATTTAACGTACCGGAACCCTAACCCGAACGCTGTTTTTGCTGGCGTCGGGAGGGACCCGAACGACTTCCGGCTTGATGCAGTTTCCGGTCTTTTCGCGGTACTTCCCGGCACACGATCGCCATCTAACGTAAGTCCAAGGAATTTCTACATTTTACAGAGTCTATATGTGGTTTTTCATAAATATACGTTACGTTAGCTAGCTCTTCTGGGGCACATGCCAAAGCCATACCGATTATTCTCAGTATAAGCATCCCGTATGAATGCATATGTGGCCCGCTCAGCTCGTGTGGATAGTTTTGATTATACACGGATATCTTGGCTAATTGCTGAATCTAGAAAACAGGCGCTAGATAATGCAGGCTGTTCAATTCCATCCCATCAACTTTCCTGCTGCTGCAACCTTAAATGCGATTTATTGACTTCCATGTAGCTTAAAAATAATGATTCAAGCATAATTTATGGAGGCCATCTTGTGCAAAATATCACTTTACTTTAGCGCTTATAGTCGCCTCCTTCTACAGTGGGTACGGAAAGTATTCAGACCCCTTAAAATTTTTCACTTTTTGTTTCATTGCAGCCATTTGCTAAAATCAAAAAAGTTCATTTTATTTCTCATTAATGTACACTCAGCACCCCATCTTGCCAGACAAAAACAGAAATGTAGAAATTTTTGCAAATTTATTTTAAAAAAAAAAACTGAAATATCACATGGTCATAAGTATTCAGACCCTTTGCTCAGTATTGAGTAGAAGCACCCTTTTGAGCTACTACAGCCATGAGTCTTCTTGGGAATG